TCACCGCGGTCTTCGGAAGTTGCGTGCGTATAGCAAAAACATAGGCATGCGTAGCATGCAAGAGTTGTTTTTTTGGCTGGGCTGTTTAAGATAGGATAGTTTGTGTGCTTAATGTTTTAATTTTTGTCACCGCAAAGAGCATAACTTTCAAAATATGAAAACATCGCAGAAAAGCAGAAAAAACTAAATTTATCTGAACTCATACAGATATTATGTGATCTACTATCTCTATTGTCTAAATACTTCTAAGTTAAAATGAAATGCATCGGTGCCACGCTTACTGCTGTCTCCTTCGCAGCCGTTGTTTGGTCTCGTCACACAACGCCCTCTATTTCCCGTTTGAGAGAGAGAGCGCGCGTTGCGTGACGAGACCAAATATCGGTTGCGAAAGAGACTGCTTACTGCCGTTCCTCCAAGAGAGAGAAAGTCAAAATTATTCGTCTACAGTTAGTTACCTCAAAAATATACTTCCGCGTAATTTGAGACCTGGCTTGGTCAATGTGGCACCTGATCGATGGATTTCATTTCAACTTCGAAGTATTTAGATAACAGAGAAAGTAGTTCAAATAATATCTGTGTGGGTTCAGATAAATTAGATCTTTTTTCTGTCTTTCTGCGATATTTTCGTTTTTTGAAAGTTATGCTCTTTTCCGTGACAAAAATGAAAACATGAAGTATACCAACTGTCCCATCTCAACCCACCCAGCTGAAAAAATGACTCTTGCATGCTACGCATGCTTATGTTTTTTACAAATTGTTGTGGTTCAGGGATAAAGTAGCTATCGAGTAATTGACTGAATACAAATCGTATAATTCTTTCTTTGATTCTATTCGATCTGTAAGAGACAATACACAATTCCTAAAACTCTAACAGCGAGCGATTTATGAAATTAAATGTGGAAAATACGAAATTACAATACCGAAAATCAAACTGGTTACAAAACAAATTACTTCTGTGGCGTTATCCAGTCAAAAGTTACTAAAGAACAGGTTAGCGAAACGGGAAAGAAACGGATCAGAAGAAAAACTACAGGTTAGCTAGCGAGGAACAATACTTTCTCTTTCACAGCTCAAAATCGTGTCATTTGATCTCGAGGTAAACTTACGAAAACGATTGCGTCACCGACTGTCAATCAAAGCTAAAATCAAATGTCAGTCAGCTAATTTGTAAAATCAATTAAAGAAACAATTTGGACTCACAATTCGTCGCTTTCTTGATTGAGGCACAGGCAGACAACCATGTGAGTTTGAGACTGCGTGACGTCAGTTATTTTATACGCTAGTTGAACTCTTACATTGTTTGTAATTTGCAACGGTCGATCTCAGCAAGACGTAAGTGATTCCGAGAAATGTATCATAAATACCGCAAATAGTAACATTTCATCGCCCTCATTTTGCGGAGTTTTGGGACGGTTAATTCCCCACTTTGCACTGATGCCCCTCAAAAGGCAAAGGAAAATCAAAAGGCGTGCAACTTCCACTACCGTCTAGGAAAGCCTCTAGAACTTCGCCGAATTTCTTCCGCTTCCAAATGTTGCTCACCTCCCAGCTTCGGGAACGTTAAAACTCGATAAACGTTTAAGACCCAAGACAAAAATCAGTGCAATTGCCCGCCTCTAACCACCTCAAAAGCCTGCTCGATTTCCGACATTTGCTCATCATCCGCCGTCGACACGGCAGATGATGGTCGATCATAAGCCTTCGATTAACCGTATTGTTCTAAGGAAATTAATCACCATTCGAGCTCAGATTTCACCCCTCCCTCCTCACGCCAGCGCATAGTGTGTCGTCGAAAGACGGTAAAAGCCAGCCCTCTCCTAAGACTATTTTACCACTTCCGTTCCGCAAACGGAAAATAATATTAGCCAATCGGAACGAAGCTGCCAGTAGTAGCTTCGTTCTGATTGTCTGATGTTTTGGAGGGGCATCAGTGCAAAGTGGGGAATTAACCTTCCTTAAACCCCGCAAAATCACTCGAGACAACACAGAAAAACGAAGGTCAGTGAACTTTATTTATCTTACTGTCATTAAGTGGATTTGGGGATGAAATGTTACAATTTGCGGTATTTGTGAAACATTTCTCGGGATCACTTACGTCTTACGTCCGTTGCAAATTACAAACAACGTAAGATTTTAACCAGCGTATCAAATAACTGACGTCACGTGGCCTCAAACCCACAGGGTTGTCTGCCTGTGATTGAGGCGGCCCCGGCGCACGGGCTCTTGATGCCCATGATCCTCTTCTGACTCGCGCTCTACTTTTGGTTCGTCCTGGCGGTTCAAATCGCTAGGACCTGATTTAACCAACAGGCTCATACGCCCTATCATTATTTTCACCTTCTATCGAGGCCCCAAAATCCGAATAATCAGACCCTGAAATAGAACTGCTTTAACTCGAACCACTATCCGCCGTGATTACTTAGCTAAGTATACACCGGCGTGACGTACCAGGTCACATGATCAAATTCGAAGCGTATATGGCGAATGACTCACGAAGCTGCATTTGGGACAGTTTTGCGAGCGGAAAAAGGCACAAAGAGGCGTTCGAAGTACTTTGTGTCTGTTTCAATATGTTACCCGAGACCTTCAGACATTATTCTGAAAAAGTGACTTTTTAGCAGTCTGTTGCCCTGTGCAGAAATGTTACCTCAGTTACGTAGTTCTCAATATTTCACTTCGACATCAGGGCATAAAACAGAAAAAATCTTACCTCGTCAGATTCGTTCATTTCACTCATAACTGATAACATTCTGTTTTACTCCTTCAAAAAGCTAGCGCTTTTGGGATATTTCAAAACTCGCGGAGGTAGCTTATTTACCTTTTGAAACCTCTAACATGATCTTCAACTCAGAGTTTCACTTACTTGCCAGCACAACAACAGTTTCTTAGAGTAGAATTTTATTTATTGAGCGACCAATGCTGAATATTTCCTTTTCCAGATCGTTCCCATCTGCCTACTGAAAAGCTACCTGAAGTAAATGACGTCAACCCTGAAGAAGCGGACAAAGGAGTAATGTTAGGTGAGCGTAAGCTACCCGATTTCTCCACCACAATTTTTTTTAATGAAATAAATTTAAATTGATCTCTTTACCTCCAAGCTCGAAGTCTACTTCTTCATATAAGGGCTGCGGTATAACTTCAATTTCATTTCCAATGTCTTCTTGAGAATGAGGTTCACACTTATTTCACCGCTGCGAGTTATAAACTCGCATCCAAAATGAATCATCCAAATTAACTCAAACCACAGGCGACCCAAGCTCCAGCTGTGAGATGGTCATCTTGCACAATAACAGTCATAGCGGAATTATAAGAGTTTGTATGAGAATATTTACGACCGCTCTAAGGAATAAAACAATACGTCAAATTCTCAATAAAAATACCTCACCTTACTTCCACAGCGTATCACGTGTTATCTGACCGTTTTCTTTGATGAAAAGAACCCATTTTAGCGAGTTGTCCATTTAGAGGTTTTCGATGTACATAAGAAAAGCCCAAGGTTAAAACAGCAGTTTCCTTGTCAGCCATTTTTAGCTTGCCCGCTCCTTCACTCTTCTCCTCTGATTGAGTTATGGAACAGGCTAATGGTCAGCTATCATTATGCAATAATGCTTTTGTCCATTTTCACACCAACCACTGCAATATTGCATTGCCGAATTTATGTTTTAATTGTTTCTAGCTTGTCTCCTGTTACCAGTCATAACTGTTAAGTATTGCAATAAACCGAAGGGAAAAAAAAGGGTGTCCATTCAAGATACTCTTCTTGAATTTCAGATCAGATTATCAATGTGTTCTTAAAAGTGATCCACGACGTCTACTGCAGCTTCAGAGTATCTTCTTCAGAAGTGAATGATGTAGCGTCATCCGTTTTCGAAGCACTGTCTGTGATCCTTGAAAAGGGTCAAAAGTTGAAAGTTCAGCAACTCAAAGATAAACAAGATCAAGTTGTAAATTACGGCGAGCTTTTCTCGGTGGAGGAAATTTTTCCCGTCGGGAGTTTCGTGGAAAATAAAATAGGACTTATTAATGAGTTTTACTTTAACATCAAGTTAAACGTGGGAGAATTGACCTTAAATGAGGGATGTAGACCAGGACGCGTTCGAGTAACGTTTGAGAGTAACCGGCAAGTATGGCTTAAAAATCTTGGTGATATGTTAACAGAAATGATTGCAGCAGCGGTACAAACAATGACAGATGATGAAAACGAAATAGTTAGGGAATCAGGTACGCTGCTCATCAAGGCGGGTAGGCTTTTTCTTCAATTGTAGTGGAAAGGCGCAAACCAAAACGAATTTAACATTATAGTTGATGTCATGCCAGCAATTCCATGTACTGAGAAGTTCATTGCGGAACTTGCTGAGAACGAAAACTTTCCGTCAAATTTCTACAACTTGATTAAAGAACACCCTTGCTACCTTGTACCAAAATCTTGTTCACCAGATTGTCAAAAATGTTCCCACGTGTCCTTTGCTCAGGCTGAGCTTTGTCTGATAAAATCCTTAGATGAATGCCATCGCCTTTGTTACAGAACATTGAAATATTTGCTTCTCGATCACATTTTGAACTCTTACCAGATAAAGATGGCCAGCTTACACCATGCTTACGTCCAGAAATTTAAACACCCTTTGCGGATCTCGGTCGGATAGACCCAAAATGTGTTTTAGATGATCTTGGTTATCTCTTGAGCAATTACTTGGAATTACCTACCTTCTTTTCACACAACTGTTGTGTTATCACAAAAGATGGAGAAGGAACACAAGCTTATTTGGATTATCTCGCAGACGCGACTGATCTTGACCTATCGACGTTACCACTCGTAGATATGGAAGTGCGATATTCGTACAAGAACTATGATTGGCTAGACATGTTTGCATGGCTTGAATTCCAAAAGCGTTGCCTCTTATTGCTGATGGAGGTGCTTCTTCACGTGGCAAAATTTCCGCCTCACCCAAAGTCATTTTCTTACTTCCATAGAGCTCTTAAAATATTTGTTAGAAACAACACCGGAGGAATTTGGCATGAAGGGAAAAAAACATCACGTACGTGTTACGGGAAGGCCTACAGCTAGAGAATGGGTCGACATCATACCACACTTTTCTTCAAGGGTCTTCATCCCTGCCTTCTCACTGATCCTGGAGGAAATCAAAGTAATCTTTCCGAATGCAGAACTTAAATATAGTCGTTTTGTTGGGTCAGCCTCTCCAATCCGGTTATGTGCGCCTTGCCCAGTTATGGGATACTCTCAAGCTTCGATGGGATCTAGCCTTTTCAACCAAGGTAATCTTCTTATACGAATGGGAGCAATGTGCTATTTCGCTCGGTTAGAGGGAAAGTCCTGGTTACCCGTTGCATTTGGCAAGATGTCCTTCATTGAAACACGCGAAGCCCTCGGAACTTATATATCCGATCGCGTAGCTTTTTACGAAGCCTTAGAAAGGGGTCTAAGCTCTCTACTTGTTCGAGGAAACATTGTGAGGCCTGATGCAGGAAGCGAAAGTGTTGCAAGCGCTGATGAAATTCCCGACTTTAAAGGTCCGTTTTTCTACAATGTGCGATATGACGGGGAAGCGTTTCAACAAAATATCATCTCTATCTGGCATTTCAAACGCTGTCTTATTATTTTTCTTCTACAAGGAATGCTGACTGCAATTTACTTGCGGAATCTATCGGATGCGATTCACCAACGCTTTAATTCGACCAGCAAGAGCACAGCGATCGTAAAGGCTGGACGCTAGCTGAAGCCATGCACACGAACATCGGATTACACCCTGGGCTCCCGATCGCGCCCCGAATCGCTAGGAACACTTGCGACGGACCAATCTCGGTCTCCCGTAAATGGGGAGCAGCAATACCACTGTAAACGAGATAATTAAGCTTTCAAGACCTAACATCTTCATCTCCTCGAAAAAGACTTCCCCCTCCTCACTTGAACTTACCTCAGTTATTACTTAGGGGCCGATTCACACTTCAAGATGAAGCTACATAGGTCTGCAGTAAGAGGAGGTCATTGTTTTATCCTTAGGTATACCGTTGGTCGATGTTGTCGCTGCCGGGTAAGGTCTCAAATAGACCAAATGCCCGGCGGTCAGAAATTTCACAGAATTTCCACCAAAGGGTTCTTTCAAACTTCTTAAGAATAACAGATGTTTGTTTAGAAATGTCAAGCGATTCCACAAATTAACTTTTTTTTTTTAGTGAACAAATTCTCCGAGCTTGAGCATACTATAATATCGCTCGGTTTTAGACACTTAGAAATTGTAAGCTTCTGATCAGACCGCCGGGCACGGTCTCGAATAGACTGAATGCCCAGTATTTAGAAATTCTCACCAAAATGCCACTAAATTGTTCATTGAATCTTCTACAGAGCATCAGATATTTGTTTAGAAATGTCAAGTGATTAAAAACTTAATTTGGTTCTTTAGTGGACAAATTATCCGAGCTTGAGCGTTCTGGAACGTTTCTGCGTTTTGGTATGTTACTGAAAAACCAACATTACTAAACAAACATTGAATATACTCAACAAGTTTGTCTGAGGTTTTCAGTAGCATTTTTGTGAAAATTTCTGACTGCCTGGCATTCAGTCCATTTGAGACCGTGCCCGACAGTCTGATCAAAAGCGTAAGTGTGGACAATCAAGCGATATATGTCATGAAGCCCCGTTCAAACGATCATGATAGTTGATGATAATTTGCGATAGTTTCAACTTTTATTCAATATCATTGACTGTCTTGTTTGCGTTCGAACGGTTCATGAAATTTGTTGTTAGTTGCCAAAATCACGCATTGGGTTCGCGTAATTGGTTAACAAATATGGCGCGCGCTGAGGTCAGCAAAGTTCGGGGCATTTGAAATTTTAATGAAGAAGTTGCGTGTGGAAGATACTGAAGCCTACGAGGAGATGATGTGAATGGACTACGAGATATTTTACGAATTTTTTTACGGTTACTTCAGTCATTTTACCATTTGCCATTTCGGTTTGAGCCTGTTTTTGGCAAAACTGCTGATCATCCGCCCGTTCAAACAGCAAAAATATTTCATCGACTATCAGGTCGAATTTGAAAATGTCCAAACTACATGGTTGTTGGTGATAGTCGATGATAGTTCTTGTTTAAATACGCCTGATAGTTGAAACTATCATAAAAAATTATGACCGTTTGAACGGGGCTTAACACTGAAACTATAATCTTCTCCTCCTCCCTCCCCTTTAGACATATTTTACAACCACACATGCCGTGCGCCATATGAGAAATTTAGCCAATCACAGTCACAGATTTTGAACTTGAAATTGCAAATTGAAGAAGACAGTTTCATGTACTCTTGTTGTTTTTTAAGAGTTTATTTGAGTTTTTTAACTTTTTAATCTCAAATTGGTCACTTTTCAAATATGAAGTAATACCTAAGTCTTCATTTGCGTCAAAATGTTGTAAATAATTTGACAATTTTTTTACATCTTTTACTACGGAGTTGGGCTCCATAGCTCTAGCCTCTTTCTTGAAAAAAAAATTTAAAACCCCACTTGTAGTTGTAGTTGTAGTCTAGTCTAGTTGTAGACTAAGGGTGCATGGAGCATTACGTGACATCCAAAAGAACTTCGCTCTGACAAATGACCAACGCTCGAAACGTCAGCTTATGGTGGCCAATTTACATTATAAACTCAATTGGTATTAAAGCAATTGTCTTGTAATACCCTTCCACCGACGTAGCACCTCAGTTTGTATAGAAACTTAGGACCTTTCCGTCATCACCAACATTTTACAAGTGCGGATGATTTGTCGCCACTTGTAAAATTTTTGACAAATCTTCAAACGCACCGCCGACAAATTTTCCCTAGGTAAAAACTGGACAAAATCGACTAAATAAACAAAACCGTGATAAAACTGTCAATCATTTGTCGCAAAAGCTACGACCAGCTTGTAATCGAACTGAAATTAGTTTACTAGAAAGGAAAAAAATTGTCTTTTGTTGCAAAAATCGGGGATTCTTAAATTTAATAATAATAATAAATCATAAATTTAATACTTATATAGCGCAAAATTCATTATAAGTATAGGATCTAATGCGCTTCACAATAAATTTCAAAAATATCGAAAAGAAACCGCAGGAAATGTGATAGATTACAAAATGAAAACAAAATTATATTTAACAAAAAATTAAAAAGCAATGAAAAATCTATATAACACATAGTCTAAAAATGTTCGCAATTATCAGTATGCTTGTTTAAAAAGATACGTTTTCAGTTTTCAGTTGTTTCTTAAAAATATTTACACTACTTACAACTCTTAGACTTTCCGGAAGAGAGTTCCATAAAAATGGGGCAGCTACCGGAAAAGCTCTGTCCCCAGTGGTCTTGGCAGATCTAATAAATTATTAAAATTTGATCTAAATTATAATTACAATCGCCTTTGAATGATATAATATCACTAAGATATGCTGGCGCTAGGCCATGGAGAGCTTTAAAAGTCAACAAATTTACCTTGAAAATGATCCTAAATTTAACTGGCAGCCAATGGAGATTAATCATCACAGGTGTAATGTGCGAATAACGCGGTGTATTGGTCAGTAACCTGGTGGCAGCGTTTTGAACGCGTTGTAACCTATTAACGTGTATAGCAGACAAACCATATAATATTGCATTACAGTAGTCGATTCTGCTTATAACAAATGCTTGCACTAATGACTTTGCAGCTTCAAAAGGCAGATATTTTCTTATACGCTTTATGTTATATAGCGAAAAGAGAGCTGATTGACACGTTTTGTTTATATGGCTGCGAACCTGGAAATTAGAATAGAACCAGACACCTAAATTCCTAGCTTCACTGACTGATTTTACTTGCGTGTCACCAACTATAAGGCTGTCAGTTCTAACTTTGCTAAGTTGCTGGCGAGTTCCAATGAGCATGAATTCAGATTTATCTTCATTCAGCTTTAATTTATCAACAATCAGCCACGCCCTTACGGCCCTGATACATCTCTCCATAGCACCTCTTGCTTACGTCTCACCCATTGAACTGTCTGGCTTGAACGACAAATAAAGCTGAGTGTCGTCAGTGTACGCATACGCATTGGGCAAATGGTTCTTGATAACCTGGAACAGCTTGCTCGCATAAGCAGAGAACAGAAGTGGTCCGAGACATGACCCTTGAGGAACTCCAAATGACAAATCAAATCTATTAGACAGTACACCATTAATCGTGACACGTTGAGACCGAGTTGACAGGTAGGAGGCGATCCATTTGAGCGCATCTCCAGTAACACCAAACAATGTCTCGAGACGGCGTAAGAGGATGGTGTGGTCGACCGTACCAAACGCAGCGCTAAGGTCAAGTAATACAAGCAAAGACACATGTTGACGATTCAGGTCAAGTAAGATGTCATTTACTATCTTAACCAGCGCCGTCTCAGTGCTATTTGATTTCCTGTAAGCTGACTGCAACTCGGGAAACAGTTCGTTGTTCATTACATGGGCGTATACTTGGTCAAATACTGCTCTTTCAGTAATCTTGGACACAAATTGGAGATTACTAACCGGACGCAAGTTCTTGAAAGCGAAATCAATAGCGCCCTTCTTGAACAAAGGGTTTATGATAGTTTCCTTCCAATTGTCAGGTAAATAACCAGTGGACAGAGATGCATTCACCTTATTTGTGATCACCGGAAGCAGAACATCTAATGAATCACAGACCACATTAGTTGGAAATGGGTCTAATACGCACCACTTTTTGGCAGAGGCTTTAATGAGCTCACATACATTTCGCTCACTAAGCTTGCTAAAAGAGCGCAGTACTTCATCAGTGATATCCGAGGCCTCACCGTCTGGCGGGACAAGATTACGATCAGCAGAACTCAAGCAGATGGAATCAGTATTCTGACGAATGTGCTCTACCTTGCGCACAAAGAATTTGCCGACATCATTTGCAAGCACAGTCTTGTCAAGAGGGACAGGAAAGTTCAAAACATCAGAAGCGCCAAGCAGTTTTTTGGCTGCGCAGAAAAGCTTTCTCTGATCGGTTCCATTATCCTCTATAAATTTGGAATAAAACTCTTCCCTTGTCTTGTTCATGAAATTAGTAACCTTATTCCTCTTCCGCTTGAAGTCAGCAAAATCCACAGGCAACCGCGTTTTTCTCCATTTTCTTTCAGCTTTCCGGCGTGAGCGCTTAGCATCATTAATTTCATTGCTATACCAAGGGACCACAGGCCTGCTAACCCTGAACCATTGTCTAAAGATCTCACAGGGCCAGGATTAAGTTTGAAAACTAAATCTCCCGTAAGAGGAACGTGGAATAAGGCGTTGGTGCTGGAATAATAAGCGCAAGGGCGCTTGGGTCTCTTGATGCGCGGTAGTCTGAAGAATGTGGGGCACGGCATTTCTTTGTAATGACAAGTGTACGCATATCGTGAATAGAATGAAGCACACCGTGTACAGTACAACAAAGGCAACTTCTCAGTTAATGAGACTCGCTTGTCCCATATGCAAATTCTGGTCGACGAGCTTTCGAGATGAGTACTGATGCATCTTGACAAATGAAATTTTCCCTTGTTGTTTCGTTACGAGAGAACTCCAATCTTGTCCAGTAGCTGCCTATCGGTCTTACACAACCAACCTGAGCGTCCTTTGGATAGTGGAGGACAGTACAGGCGAGGAACAGGACCCAAAACGCAGAGTTCGATCGTGTGTAGAACATCTTTCAGCTCTCTCGGGAGAACAAGCCAACCAACGTAGGTGACTTAAAGCGACGATTGATGTGCATGGGTGACCAAATTGTCATTGGAAAGACCAAGTTATGGAAGTTTTCTAGTCAAAAACAGACTGAGGCCAAAAAAAGTAAAGCGACCCTAATTACTTTGCACGCTCACTCAAAAATCTACGGTTTGATTGTAGCTCAGGTTCAATAGGCTAAAAACCTTGCCAGGACAACTGGATATTTAAACAAGATTGGTGGTAGTACAGTCGTACCTGTACCTGTATTAAGCGGACACTAAAATTCGAAAACGACTTAGGAAAAATCCTGTTAAGTGGAGGTGGATTCCCATGCCAAACTATGCTGGCCGGTCTTATGAAACAGATCAGGCGCTGACGGAATTTGACGGCTTTAAAATTTTTTATGCGGATGCAACAGACGAAACAAAAATCCGTCATGACAAAATTCGTCCTTTGATTTTGTCGAGACAATTCTAGTTTTGTCCGCTAGTGCGGAGAGGCTCGGGCCCTTACCTAATTATTTATCCTGAAGAACGGCTGCAAAGGAGTATGGGTGCCCTGTGATGTTCCTGGGAATACGTTTGAATTTCGCGGCTACCAAGGAATCGCTCAGAAGGAAGGCTAACGCTCAAAAGAGTTACTACTACTACATCACGGGCGACGAGTGGGGGAAGAAGAAAAGACCGAAATACGAGTGGTCAGCGGGGAAACAAATTTAATGTTTCACATAGAGACATGTCAGTTATAGTTGTTGTAAAGCCGAAATATCAACAGTATACTTCGCTAAATAAAATGTTGAGCAATTTTTCAAAAATGTTGATGGCACATATATCTTTTACTGCTGTAATAAACAATGGAGGTATCGGAAAAGGCATCGGTGGCATCCGGAAAGGCACCAAGAAGAATTATATTTACGTTTTGTAACTTGCTGCGTGACGTGCGTGACGAAAAAAGAAAACCAAAACCGTGGTCCCCAAATGAATTCTCCCACCTTACCCCAAAAAATTTTCAAATTTTTCGTAACTTCACCTGTTTCTATTCGTAGGTCCGCCCAAGCCTTCATGGTCATTGGCCCCCGTATAGCTGCTGATTATGGCTTATAAATACAGGTGTTTAGTATTAAATTGTAAAACTCCCCGAAGAAGTCTACAACAGTTAGACAAAACGCGTCGGAGAATAAAGAAATTTTACAACTACTGTTAGCAGAGTGCTGCTCACCAATTTAGTTTTAAAGATTTTTTTAAAAAATTTGGTGCGATAGCTGTGGTCAGTTTTTCCATGCAAGTTGTCCGTATATACCTTTCGCAGAGACGTGGGGACAGAGACACCAACACAACATTTCACCTGCCGTTCGGTTCGAAAGTTAAGTTTTCATCCCGAGTTCATTTGTTAAATTAAATAGGTAAAAAACACTCCGAACGGAAAACAGAATTATTTTAACGTCTGGATATTTTGAAAAAAGGTCTTCTAAACGAGTGGCCCTAATTATAAATATTTAAGCATGGTAAACACGTTAGCCTTAACTTTGCTGTTTCTCGAAGCTCAGTGTTTTCCTACATGCCTTTTTCACGTGAAATGGGGCAATTAAATATATATAATAAACACTAAAAGAACTACAGCTGATGGAAATTTTAAATTTCTTATCTAAAGGCTGAGGTACAAACTTATTAATGACTCTAAAAGTATAAAAAATCTAGAACGAAATTTTTTTAGAGTTGCTTAGCTTTTCATTTTTCCGGAATCGAAAAAAAGCAAACCAACTGTGATTAACGCCTTAAACAAGTCAAGATACTTTTTTTCGTCATACAACAAGGTACATATCGTAAATATCATTCTTCTTGATGCCTTTCCCGATGCCTCCATTGGTTACTGTAGCCATAGTTAGTAGAGGAGACTAATGATGTAGCAGTAAAAATATTGTTCCGGTCAAAGCGTTTGGAAAATTGCTCAACTTTTTAAGTAGCGAAGTATAACCTGGTAACATTTTGGCTTTACAACACGATTATTTTTTGCAAGTTACAAAACGTAAATATAATTCTTCTTGGTACTTTTCCGAATGCCACCGATGCCTTTTCCGATGCCTCCATTGTTTAATACAGCAGTAAAAGATATATGTGCCATTGAAACTTTTTAAAAATTGCTTAACATTTTATTTAGCGAAGTATATACTGTTAACATTTCGGCTTTACAACACTATTGTTTTCTGCATCTACAACTGATATGTCTCTATATGAAATTGTTAGTTTCGAAACGCGTAACTTGTGTACTTTTCTGTTAGGTTTGTTCCGGTCTATTGTTTCTTCGTTGGTTAATGATTATTACTTAATAAGTTTTTTATTTCAATCGGTGCACATGTACCAGGTATTATATTTCATATTTCATCGCTATAAGTTGCTGTCGACGCCACCAATTTTGTCTGCTATTCATGTACGATCCGCTATTGGCAATCTACCCATAACCATTAGGAGCTAGACCAAAGTAAGTTTTTCTTTATTTCACATTTAAGATATTTCTTTTTTTTTTTTGATACGTATATCGATTTATTTCTCGCTTTCAGTTCACTTTATAATCGCTCCATTGTTAATTAGGCTAGCGTTATATTTCTCAGGGATATTTTCTTAGTTTAGTTTCTGCTACATTTTCTTTTAGTTCGAACCACACAAATTCAGCTATAACATTACCATCAATCATAACTACGCTATCTTCAATCCTACTTCGCCTTCTTCGTCTGCGATTTCACACCGATCTCCTTATTTCGTTTGTAACTTTGATTACGTACTTCATTTGATTAAACAGTGATTTATATTGTGCGTTCGAATTGTCTTCTCCGCTACACTAGTAACCTTTGAAGGTTACAGAAGTATTAAATTTGTTTCCCTGCTGACCACTCGTATTTCAGTCTTTTCTTCTTTCCCAGCTCGTCGCCCGTGACGTAGTAGCTCCCCGCTTAAAGGTCAGCTCTTTCACTCTTTACGGTGGCCAATTTACGTTTTCAACCCAGTTGTTAACACTAAATTACCTGCTATACCCTCCCACCGACGTAGCACCACAGTTTCTCTAGGAACTTACCCCCTTAATTCATTTACCAAGGAATAGCACCATTTTCGAAGGAAGAGGAAAAAGGAAAGTGACGATGGTGAATGCAAACCTGCGATCTAGCTATAGCCAAAATAAGGGAACGAAGGAGAGCAGACCTTCATTCTTTCACAAACCCAGCCAGAATGAGTGACCACTGCACTTGTCAACGAAAAATCGCTTTTAACAACTTTTCTTTCGGTGATGTATTGGGTAGCGAAGGAAGAAAAGCGCTGAATGCTTGTGTGAAAGTCAAGATTTACGGCAAACCAGAAGTTCGGAGATATGACAAATCCACAGCCTCGAATCGATTTTACGATTGTTATGTTAGGCAGGAGGGACTAAGGTCACCACATGTTTGGATCGACTTCGATGAAAATACGAAAGCGTACACCATTGTTGACATTCACAACGCACTTGTTAAGTGTGATAACTTGCCTTACGTCGAGAAATACCCGAAAAGAGAAACCGGCTCTGATGAGATAAGAAAGTTGATTGACAAAAGAAGAGCTGACGTGGAAAGAGAGTGGAAGGAAGCCAAAGCTAATCCAGATGGAAGACAGAAATATTCTTTGGCTGTTGCCCAGCGCCGAGTGAAAGATTGTTATGCAGGAAACTTTCCATCGAACGAATGGTTACTTCTTACCTACAGGGAATCTTTCAGCATTAAGGACATTTATGATACAGTTCATCACTTTGATGAAAGGAGTCTGGAAACATGCTGTTACTCGAATAGAGGCATGTATGAGCAAATCAGTGAATTTAGAGCTGATGTGGAAACCAAATGTAACGAATTTGATGCTTCTACTGGCACTTGCCACAAATATACCAGAGAAGAGGCACAGCAACTTTTGCAAAAATGTTACTGTGGTATAGATGGTCCCATATACCCTGATTGTTATGGTTGCGGCGCATGTGCAAATGATCCTGATCGTTTGATGTGTATTTTTGACATTCGTGATGCTCTTTGCAAATGTGACAATAAAATGGAGCAGCTTCACAAATACCCTGAACAAGGACCTGGATCTGATGAACTAAAGAGATCAATTGATGCACACAGAGCTGACTTGAAAGAGGAGTACGAGAACTCTCTTAAGGGTGGTAAATCCAGGTCACAAGCTTGCAAGTATTCACGTAGTGAGGCGGAGCGCCGAGTTAGAGATTGTTATGCCAGTGCCTTTACTGGCGATGTTGACTTATTTCCCCAAAAGAAAGATCAGGTTGGAATGCCAAGGATTTACCAAACTTTTGATATATTTGACATAAAAACATCTCTTGATTATTTTGACAGAAAATTAATTCTGGAAAGGTATCCAGACAAAAAACATATTACTGATGAATTAAAAAGAAAGATTGAAGAAAACAGAGCTAGCATTGAATGTGAGTACAAGGAAGCCACTGCTATTAATGAAATTGAGCATGGTTCTGGATTTATCATCCAAGATCACTTTGTACTTACTAACAGGCATGTGATTGAAACCTATCTAGATGATGAACATAGTTATGAAATTCGCTTTTCCAATGAATCCATTGGTGAACTGTCATGCAAGGTTGCTCATGTTGATCCAGGTAAAGATTTGGCATTACTGTATTGTCCAGATCTTAATTTACAAGAAAGTGGAATTTGTCCATTGCAGTTGTCAACCCAGCCATTGCTGCCAGGAATGCAGATATTTTCTTTTGGTTATCCCATGAGTCACACTGAAGAAACTGCTCTTTTTGTGAATGGAAATGTCTCTGGTTCAAAGAGGACCTTATCAGGCCATTCAAAGGCAGTATTGAACTGCTCACTGAATTCTGGCAATTCAGGGGGTCCAGTTCTGTCTTGGGTAGATGGTGAGGTAAGGGTAGTTGGCATTGCAACTCAGAAACATTTCAAAGAGATTTTAACACTGGATGAAATTAATACAATTGAAGATATTAGAGAATCATTGCAAACCCACACCATTTCTGATGTGCAAGAACGTGATTTAAATTCCCTGTCTCATGGATTCTTTCCTAGAGGAATCCCCACTTCCTGTCATATTTCACTGCATCTGCTGACATTAAAACTGTATGATGCTTTGGAAACACATTCTCAATTCAATTTAAGTAATGCATTACCTGGAGATTTGGTGGTTGAGTTTATCAAAAACTTCATCCCTGAATGCAATGGAGAGCATAAAGAAGAGTTGATCAAGGTTGTTGAATTGTCTCAGTGAATCAATCAAACATTTGATATTCAATTTGGATCCTTTATGATTGCATATCTAAGTTTTTTTAAGATTGTTGTTGTGGGACATAATTTGTAGTAAAAAATGAGAAACACTTTTTTAGGAGTATTAACTGTCCAGAAATGCCTGTATTGTTAACAGGCCCTGCTACTTTTAATGGTTCATAATTATTATTTGCATTTGGTTAAGTTTGTTAATTTTTTGATAATTGTCTCTCTCAAAGATAAATTAGGTTAATTAACCCTTTAACTCCTGTGAGTGACCAAGACAGAATTTCTCCTTACACTATCAATACAAAATCAATCAAACAAGTGATGATAATAACAAAAAAAATCAATCAGGTAATTAGAAGTTGATCCAATACCAAATTCTCCAATCTAAAATTGCAAGAACTGTATGGCAGACAGTAAAGAGAATTACTAATGAGATCTAGGGAGTTCAAGGGTTAAGCAATAATGAACCGTATGAAGAAACTATGAACTTTGTGATAATGGATTATCATTTTTCATGCTGATTTTCTTAAACTATCATCAATTTAGAGTGAGTATTATAAAATAATTCAAATAGTACGCATGCTCTGATTGGCCATAGAACCATTTTACATGAGCGTATGTAAACTTGGTTTCGTTCCTCTTTCATTAGTTATTTTATAAAAGAAATGTAAAATGGTTTCCGTGTTTACATAGCCTGATGTAAACACGTGGGACTCGATAAGCTGGAAACCAGTCTGCTTCGCGTTGTGGTTTCCTATGCTTATCTCATGTTTTCCCAACCTCCTGCATGTTTACATCAGGCTATGTAAACTCAGAAACCATTTTACATTTCTTCATTATGTAGTAATAGTGTTGTTTGGATTTATTGAAATAATTGTGGGATACCTTAGGGCTCTTAAAACATAAATGTTTTTAATGTAAAAAGGTATCTGCCACCTGATAGTGGTTCAGAATTTCTATCATCTATGGTGGAAAAAGTCTCACAATTTTTTGAGAACTCTCATAGTTAAAAAGACTCTGTTTCAGAGAAGTTTGTTAAATTTAGCAAAAGGAGGACAAAAACTATGAAGAAATTTTGGTATCACCAAAAAGGGCTACCATTTTGTAGAGATAAATTTAACTTGGACTTCTCCATTTTTTGTTTTTCATTTTACTATATATGCAAAGCTTTGCTCTTGGAAAAACTGTTAGGTGCTGTGAGGCACCTTCAAAATAATCAGGTGTTGCTCAGATCTTAAAAGCTAATATGAAAGCAGTTATAAAAGTCTCCTAGAAATAAAGTTAATCTCCTCTACCACTTGGGTTCCACCAGAGCACAGCTCCAAACAAGTGTAATTTAGCCTATGCATATCTTAAGCATTTCATAATTCTTTTTTTAACCTTTAGATGTATTTTAGGTGGATGTATCAGTGGTTGGTTGGTTTTTTTTTTTTAATTTTGTTATCAAGTTTACTATCAAGAAGTGCAGTTTTGATGCATAAATTGTAATGTTCTTGTAATAGAACTGTATTAATTTTGTTTATTTCACTTATGATATTTGTTTCCAGTCCTTTGTTTTGTTTTGTAACTCAGCTTTAGTATCTTTATACAATAGACCACACTTTTTATTGGTTTCCTAGTGTAATAACCCATGCAGGATGCTGAGAAAACACAAGCAAAGTTTGTGGATATGAGCCAGAGGCAAGTGATTTACAAACTTTTCTTGTGTTTCTCTAACAACCCAAGTGGGTTATTATGCCAGTAAACTGACGGAAGCTGCAGTCTATTGCGCTTTGAAATAAACTTATTTTTTTATTCTATGGGTTTGCTTGTGCAATTAATGATTTGTTCTTAACCAATCAGGGCACTTGCAGTTTTTCAGTTATTTCATAAAAATGCAGAAAAATTATTTACATAGTTTCAAAATCTGAATGTCAATTTTATATACTAACAAGACCTACCTGTTTATGAGTGATAGACTTAATAATGCACATTTGCGTTCATCAATCTTCTGTTTCAAGAAAAGAAGTGTAACTAGCCATTTTTCAGAGATGCCAAGCTCTGGACATCTCAGATCTGGAGATCTTTTTTTTGGATCAGAACCCCCCCCCCCCCCCCAACCAAATTTGCCTCCACCAAGCAATTTTGCAGGAAGATCATGGATCTATCTGTCAGGGACTTCAATTGGTTGAATACTCATCCAATCAGACTCTCCATTACATAGGAGTAAGAAAGAAGAAAGCATCTTTTTGCTTACAATGAACAATGTGCATCACGCAAGAAAATGAGGCCAGAAACCGTAATACAAGCATAAGAAGCCAAATGATTTTGGAATTTTGGAATATATGTAGCCTGAATCTTCTTTGTGGGCAACTGATCCAAACTTCCTTTTTATCCAGGAGTTCTGGTCACCCGTACGGGAGAGTGGGAGATTGGCTGTGTATCTAGGAAAGTTGGCATATATGATTTTTGGTTTGTAATACCATTCTGCACATTGCCAATATAGAGTGCAGGGGGAAGGGATGAGTGAAGTAGGCCAATGATTTGATGAAATCATGTTTTATTACTGCTAAGGGTTTCTTAGGTATGCAGTCGAGTCCTTTACCATAAAATGTGGTGAATGTATTCATGACATTATTCTAACATTTCATGAGAAATCTCACCACTTTGAGAATTTCACCGCCAAATGAAAAAACATATCCCGATGGTATGAAGTTCGTTAAGACATTGAGATGAGCCTTGCATACATACATACATACTTATATGCATACTGGTTTATTGCATTAATACCCTTAGTTATTAAGGAAAAAAGAATAAGCTACTCTTCAGGTATTGCCCAGACATAAACTGAAACAGAACGAATGAATTTATAATAATTATACAAACTGCGTTGGTTGAGTAACAAGCACTGCACTTGAGTGGAAAAATTCAATAGAAGTCTATTTCATGAAAACATTACTGTTCAGGAGAGCGCCCTGGGGACGAGGTAGCCTCTCATTCGCGGCTACCAGAGTATTGCACCATTCTTCAGACCAAGTACAAGAATTTCGAAAAGAGGACATTGGTAGAGTTTGACTACCAGTTTACGAACCAGCGGTATATTTCTACGGTGTTGGCTTTCCTATTTTGCCTACATATGAGAAGAAACTCTCACTGAAGTGCAGACATCGTTTCAATGGGTAGTTGTTTCTCCACTCAATCCCCACCCGACAAGGTGGACAACAATGATGTGCTAGGAAACAAGGGAAGAAAAGTTTTGGATGCCTGTGTGAAGGTTAAGATTTACGGCAAACCAGAAACACGCAGATATGATGGCCTAAGAGCACTGCAGCTATTTCATGGATGCTATATGCATACAATCGGAGTAGGATACAAAGACTTTCTGCCAGCCGAACCCAATGATAAGGCAGAGAAAACATACAGCATTATTGATATTTACAAGGCAATGGTTAAGTATGAAAACATGCCCTATGTTGAAATATATCCCGAAGGGCCTGACGCAAAGAAGATGAAAGAGTTGATTGATAAACGAAGAGCTGACGTTGAAAGAGAGTTGGAGGAAGCTAGAATTAACCCAGATGGAAGAAAAATGTATTCCTGGACTGTTGCACAGCACCGAGTTAGAAATTGCTATGCTGGGAACTTTCCTGAGGATTTCGGTATCACTGGTTTTTTTGCTCCTGAACCTAACAGTATCAAGAACATTAAAGATATTGTTGATTTGTGTGATGAAAAAGCCATTGAAGTATTTAGTGACCAAAGCAAAAGCATAGACAAGAAAGCCCTTTCACACAGGGCTGACATTCAAAAGAAGTACCAGGATGCTCTCGCTTCTCCTGGCACTCTCTACAAATATACTGAAGAAGAAGCACAGGAAAGTTTAAAGAATTGTTACTCTGATGCTGCTGATCGATGTTTTGATAGTCATCATTGCCAGGCATGTGGATATGGTAATCCTGATTTCTGTATTTATAAACTTTATAATGCAGTTAGCAGGTATGATTTCAGCTTGCTGCCAATTAGCAAATACCCTGCTGAAGGACCTGGTTCTGAAGAGCTGAGGAATTTAATTGAAAGGCACAGGACAGATTTAGAGAAAGAGTATCAGAACTTTTGTAACAGTGAAGAATCCAGGCAGCCAGTTTATAAATATTCTCGTGGAGAGGCAGAGCGTCGCGTTAGAGATTGTTTCGCCAGTGCCTTTCCTGGGGATAGTGATGTATTTCCCACAAAGAATGATCAGAGTGGAATGCCAAAGATCTACCAAACTTTTGATATTTTTGACATAAAACAATCTCTGGATTATTTTGATGCTAAAAAGTTTCTTGAAAAGTATCCAGAAAAGGGACACATATCTGATGAAATAAAGAAACGTGTTGATGAACAGAGAGAACATATTCTAAGCGAATATAAGATTGCCACTACCATTGTTGAAATTGAGCATGGTTCTGGATTTGTCATCAGTGACCACTTTATACTTACCAACAGGCATGTGATTGAAACCTGTCTATATCAAAAAGGCTTTGAAATTCGCATTTCCAATGCAGCCATTGGTGAATTACACTGTGAGGTTGTTCACAGTGATCCTGGTAAGGATCTTGCATTACTGTATTGTCCAGATCTCAATTTACATCAAAGTGGAATTTCTCCATTGCAGTTGTCAACTCAGTCGTTGCTGCCAGGAATGCAGATATTTTCTTTTGGTTATCCCATGAGTCACACTGAAGAAACTGCTCTTTTTGTGAATGGAAATGTTTCTGGTTCAAAGAGGATCCTATTTAACCATTCAATGGCAGTATTGAACTGCTCACTGAATTCTGGCAATTCAGGGGGTCCAGTTCTGTCCTGGGTAGATGGTGAGGTAAGGGTAGTTGGTGTTGCAACTCAGAAACATTTCAAAGAGATATTAACTCCTGATGAAATTGAGGTAATCGAGAATTTGAGAAAATCATTGCAAACCCAAACTATTTCTGATGTGCGAGAATGTGATGTAAAATACCTCTCTGATGGATCCTTGTATGAAAGAATCCCCAAGTCCTGTCAGGTTTCAATAAATCTGCTCACATTAAAACTGTACAAGGCTTTGGAGACACATTCTCAATTCAATTTAAGCAATGCATTGCCTGCAGATTTGGTGGTTGAGTTTATCAGAAACTTCATCCCTGAATACAAAGGGGAGCATCAAGAAGAGTTGATCAAGGTCATTGAGTTGTCTCAGTAAATCAATCAAACATTTGAAATTAAATGCAGATCCTTTATGATTGTATATTTAAAGTTTTTCAAGATTGTTGTCATTGAACATAATTTGTAGTGAGAAATGAGAAATTGTTTTAGGAGTATTAAGGTTAGGGGTTGAGATTCAATCTAAGATGGATCGCAGAATTGTGACATTAGGTGTGCTATGAGTTCAGAATAACTGTTAGAAATGCCTGTATTGTTAAACAGGTCCTGCTACTTTTAATGGTTCATAAGTATTCTTAGCATTTGGTTAAGTTTGTTAATTCTTTAATAATTATCTCTCCTAAAGAGAAATTTGTTTAATTAACCCTTTAACTCCCATGAGTGACCCAGACAGAATTTCTCCCAACAATATCAATACAATATCAATCAGACAAGTGATGAAAATAAAGAAAATATCAATCAGGGAATTAGAAATTGATCCAATACCAGAAATTCTCCAAACTAAAATTGCAAGAACTTTATGGCAGACAGTAAAGAGAATTACTGATTTACGGAGTTAAAAGGTTAAGCAATAATGAACTGTATGAAGAAACTATGAACTTTGTGATAATGGATTATCATTTTTCATTGCTGATTTTCTCAAACTATCATCAATTTAGAGTGAGTATTATGTAGTGATAGTGTTGTTTGGATTTCTTAAAATAATTGTGGGATATCTTGGGGCTCTTAAAACATAACTGTTTTTAATGTAAAGTAGTATCTGCCACCTGATAGTGGTTCAGAATTTCTATCATCTGTGGTGGATAAAGTCTCAATTTTTTGAGAACTCTCATAGTTAAAAAGACTCTGTTTCAGAGAAGTTTGTTAAATTTAGCAAAAGGAGGACAAAAACTTTAAAGAAATTGTGGTATCACCAAAAAGGGCTACCATTTTGTAGAGATAAATTTAACTTGGACTTCTCAATTTTTTGTTTTTATTTCATCATATATACAAAGTTTTGCTCTTGAAATAATTGTTAGGTGCTGTGAGACACCTACTAAATAATCTGGTGTTGCTCAGCTCTTAAAAGCTATTATGAAAGCAGTTATAAAAGTCTCTGAGAAATAAAGTTAATCTCCTCTACCACTTAGGTTCCACTAGAGCACGGCTCTAGACAAGTGTAATTTAGCCTATGCATATCTCAACCTTTAGATGTATTTTAGATGGATGTATATCAGTGGTTGGTTGATTTTTAATCTTTTTTTATCAAGGCTACCGTTAAGAACTGCAGTTTTGATGCGTAAATTGTAATGTTCTCATACTTGAACTATATTAATTTTGTTTTTATTCACTTGTAATATTTGGTTCTAGTCTTTTGTTTTTTTATGTAACTCAGCTTTAGTATCACTAAGCAATAGACTGCACCTTTCATTGGTTTACCAGTGTAATAACCCATGCAGGATGCTGAGAGAACACAAGAAAAGTTTGTAGATATGAGCCAGAGGTGAGTGATTTACAAACTTTTTTCAAGTTTCCCTAGCATCCCAAGTGGGTTATTATGCTGGTAAACTGATAGAAACTGCACTCTATTGCTTTTTGAAATAAACTTAAATACTCTATGGGTCTACTGGTGCAATAAATGATATGTTTTTTACCAATCAGGCACTTGCAGTTTCTCAGTTATTTCATAAAATAGTTGAAGATTATTTTCATAATTTCAAAATCTAAATTTAAAGTTTATATTCAAACAAGATATACCTGTCTATGAGTAATTGACTTGTTAATGCAAATTTGCTTTCATCAATCTCCTCTTTCCAAGCTTAGAGGTAACTAATTATTACTATTATTATTAACTATTATTATAACTGGCCATTTTGGTCATTTTGGGTTTGTAATACTTTTCCACACCTTGCCAAGAGGATGTGTGTGTGTGTGTGTGTGTGTGTGTGTTTTTGTGGGGGGGAATCAGGGGTAGGCCAATGATTTGACAATATCATGTTTTATTACAGCCGAGGGTTTCTTAAGTATGCATCAAGTCCTTTACCATAAAATGTGGTGAATATATTCACGACATTATCATAAGTATTTTTAAACATTTTGTAAGAAATCCTACCACTCTGAGAATTTCAAAGCCAACTACAAAAGGAAAAGATAGCTTGAAATTACAATGTTACTTAAAGGAGCCTTTCATACCTATGGACCAGTTTCATATGTTTTGTTTTTTTTTTTAACATCACTGTGAATGAGCGCGCCCTGGGGATTAGGAATCCATTTATTACGCGGCTACTAAGTTATTGCACCATTCACAAGATACTAAGAGCAAAACCCGTGACAGCAGTAGTACACTTCTACGCTGTTGCTTCTTTTTATTTGCCTACTTTGTTACCACGACCAAGATTATGAGATAAAACTCTCACTGAGGTGTAGAGCTCGTTACAATGAATAGTCATCTCTCCTCTCAATCTCGATCAGACACAGAATTTCCAAGAGTGGACAACAATGATGTGCTAGGAAACAAAGGAAGGAAAGTTTTGGATGCCTGTGTGAAGGTTAAGATTTACGGAAAATCAGAAACACGCAGATATGATCGCGAAAGAGCACGGCAACTATTTCGGGGATGTTATGTGCATCAAATAGGAGTAGCGAACACAGAATTTTCTCCAGCCAAATCCGAAACATACAGCATCGTTGATATTTACAACGCAATGGATAAGTATGAGAACATGCCCTACGTTGAAATTTACCCCAGAGAGGGACCCGGCTCGGGGAAGACGAGAGAGTTGATTGATAAACGAAGAGCTGACGTTGAAAGAGAGTTGGAGGAAGCTAGAATTAACCCAAATGGAAGAAAAATGTATTCCTGGCCTGTTGCACAGCACCGAGTTAGAGATTGCTATGCTGGGAACTTTCCAGAGGATGTATGCTCTTTTCGAGGTCCTGAACCTTTCACCATTAAGGACATTAAAGATGTTGTTGATTCCTGTGATAGAATAGCCATTGAAGAATTTAGTGACCAAAGCAACAGCATAGATGAGAAACTCCGTTCACACAGGGCTGAAATTCAAAAGAAGTACTATGATGCTCTCGCTTCTCCTGGCTCTCTCAACGTATGTAGTCATAAAGAAGCACTGGAAAGTTTAACGAAATGTTACTCTGTTGCTGATGAAGGGGCTATCATTCGTAGTTATAGTAGTTGCTACAATTGTCATAGTGTATTTGATTTCTGTATTTTTAACCTTTATAATTTACTTTGCTTGAATGATATCAAATTCCTGCAAGAGCTTATCAAATACCCTGCTGAAGGACCTGGTTCTGAGGAGCTGAAGAATTCAATTAAAAGACACAGGGCAGATTTAGAGAAAGAGTATCAGAACTTTTGTAACCGTGAAAAATCCAGGCTACCAGTTCATAAATATTCTCAAGCAGAGGCAGAGCGCCGTGTTAGAGATTGTTTTGCAAGTGCCATTCATGGAGATAGTGATGTATTTCCCACAAAGAAAGATCAGAGTGGAATGCCAAAGTTCTTCCAAACTTTTGATATTTTTGACATAAAACAATCTCTGGATTATTTTGATACCAAAAAGTATCTTGAAAAGTATCCAGAAAAGGGACACATATCTGATGAAATAAAGGAAAGTGTTGACAAACATAGAGCAGATATTCTAAGAGAATATGAGATTGCCACTTTCAAGGATGAAATTGAGCATGGTTCTGGATTTGCCATCAGTGACCACTTTATACTCACCAACAAGCATGTGATTGAAACCTGTCTATATCAAAAAGGCTTTGAAATTCGCATTTCCAATGCAGCCATTGGTGAGTTACATTGTGAGGTTGCTCAAAGTGATCCAGGTAAAGATTTGGCATTACTGTATTGTCCAGATCTTAATTTACAAGAAAGTGGAATTTGTCCATTGCAGTTGTCAACCCAACCATTGCTGCCAGGAGTGCAGATATTTTCTTTTGGTTATCCCCTGAGTCACACAGAAGAAACCGCTCTTTTTGTGAATGGAAATGTCTCTGGTTCAAAGAGGACACTATCAGGCCATTCTACGGTAGTGTTGAACTGCTCACTGAATTCTGGGAATTCAGGAGGTCCAGTTCTTTCCTGGGTATATGATGAGGTTAGAGTAGTTGGCATTGCAACTCAGAAACATTTTAAAGAGATTTTAACACTGGATGAAATTAATGCAGTGGAAAATATTAGAAAGTCATTGGAAACCCGAATTATTTCTGATGTGTTTGATATAACAGACCCCTTTGGTATAGGAAACCACAACCCCCTTCAGGATTCATTAAATCTGCTCACATTAAAACTGTATGATGCATTGGAAACACATTCTCAATTCAATTTAAGCAATGCATTACCTGGAGATTTGGTGGTTGAGTTTATCAAAAGCTTCATCCCTGAATACAATGGAGTGCATAAAGAAGAGTTGATCAAGGTTGTTGAATTGTCTCAGTGAATCAATCAAACATTTGATATTCAATATGGATCCTTTATGATTGTATATCTAAGTTTTTTTAAGATTGTTGTCGTGGAACATAATTTGTAGTAAAAAATGAGAAACACTTTTAGGAGTATTAACTGTCCAGAAATACCTGTATTGTTAAACAGGCCCTGCTACTTTTAATGGTTCATAATTATTGTTTGCATTTGGTTACCGTAATTTCCGGTCGTTTACCCGCGGGTAATCTGTTGATTATAAAGTACTGTCGGCGATATCTAAAAAAATCGATATCTCCGGTTCTATTGGGCCTAACAAGTCCCTTAAAACGGGAAAATTCTCTTTAGCTCAAGCTAGTGTTAAATGGAAATTTGTTACTGATGCGCCGGATATCTTTGGATAATTTTTGTCACCATCAAGGTTTTGTTTTCACGCGTGCCGATAGCAATTTGTTCGTCGCAATTTGTTCGTGCGTGAAATAAACTCGAGTCGGCATCATGTTTTCGTGCCGCTTTGCGGCACTATTAATACAATAAAATTCACTTGAGAGGTGGAAACGCATGTTGGTGATAATTTTTTTCAATTCAACTACCACCAGATTTTAAAATTGTCACATAACTCGCACCTCCCTATTACCCGCAGTGGCGCGCGTTTAATGCAAAATTCAAGTTTTAATACTCACCCAGCTTTTTTTCAACAAATCAACATGGCGCTGAACGATCGCTCGCACAAAATGTGGCCACAAATTTGCATTCTGTCAAGTATGAAACGTTGAGATTTGGGCATGGGCCGCTAGTGTTTTTACTGTATAATCTTATCAATAACGTACATGCTAATATTGACACAGAATTGTGCACGCGTCTGAATTTCTTTGACCTTTAAACTCGACAAAGACGCTTTCAAGTTTTCGAAAGTTGGATCAGACAACTTTTAAAAGACTGAAATGTATCACCTTAATGTCACGTTTTCGCCACCAAAAAGTTGAATAACATAACGTGCGGGTTATCCACCAGTGCGGATAATCTGTTGACTTTTTTTTTTTTTCGCCGTATGCAATAATCGGCCAGTGCGGGTAATCGGCCGTGCGGGTAAACGACCGGAAATTACGGTAAGTTTGTTAATTTTTTAATAATTGTCTCTCTCAAAGAGAAATTAGGTTAATTAACCCTTTAACTCCTGTGAGTGACCAAGACAGAATTTCTCCTTACAATATCAATACAAAATCAATCAAACAAGTGATGAGAATAACAAAAAATATCAATCAGGTAATTAGAAGTTGATCCAATACCAAATTCTCCAATCTAAAATTGCAAGAACTGTATGGCAGACAGTAAAGAGAATTACCAATGAGATCTAGGGAGTTAAAGGTTAATCAATAATGAACCGTATGAAGAAACTATGAACTTTGTGATAATGGATTATGCTGATTTTCTTAAACTATCATCAATTTAGAGTGAGTATTATAAAATAATTCAAATAGTACGTGTGCTCTGATTGGCCATAAAACCATTTTACATGAGCGTATGTAAACATGGTTTTCGTTCCTCTTTCATTAGTTATTTTATAAAAGAAATGTAAAATGGTTTCTGTGTTTACATAGCCTGATGAAAACACGCGGATGGTTGGGAGAATACTCGATAAGCTGGAAACTACCCCGCTTTGCGTCGTGGTTTCCTATGCTTATCTCGTGTTTTCCCAACCTCCCGCATGTTTACATCAGGCTATGTAAACACAGAAACCATTTTACATTTCTTCATTATGTAGTAATAGTGTTGTTTGGATTTATTGAAATAATTGTGGGATACCTTAGGGCTCTTAGAACATAAATGTTTTTAATGTAAAAAGGTATCTGCCACCTGATAGTGGTTCAGAATTTCTATGATCTATGGTGGATAAAGTCTCACAACTTTTTGAGAACTCTCATAGTTAAAAAGACTCTGTTTCAGAGAAGTTTGTTAAATTTAGCAAAAGGAGGACAAAAACTTTGAAGAAATTTTGGTATCACCAAAAAGGGCTACCATTTTGTAGAGATAAATTTAACTTGGACTTCTCAATTTTTTGTTTTTCATTTTACTATATATGCAAAGCTTTGCTCTTGGAAAAACTGTTAGGTGCTGTGAGGCACCTTCAAAATAATCAGGTGTTGCTCAGCTCTTAAAAGCTATTATGAAAGCAGTTATAAAAGTTTCCGAGAAATAGAGTTAATCTCCTCTACCACATGGGTTCCACCAGAGCACAGCTCCAAACAAGAGTAATTTAGCCTATGCATATCTTAAGCATTTCAAAATTTTTTTTAACCTTAAGATGTATTTTAGGTGGATGTATCAGTGGTTGGTTGTTGTTGTTGTTGTTTTTTTAATTTTTTTTATCAAGTTTACTGTTTAGAAGTGCAGTTTTGATGTATAAATTGTAATGTTCTTGTAATTGAACTGTATTAATTTTGTTTCTTTCACTTATGATATTTGTTTCCAGTCCTTTATTTTGTTTTGTAACTCAGCTTTAGTATCTTTATACAATAGACCACACTTTTTATTGGTTTCCTAGTGTAATAACCTATGCAGGATGCTGAGAGAACACATTCAAAGTTTGTGGATATGAGCCAGAGGCAAGTGATTTACAAATTTTTCTTGTGTTTCTCTAACAACCCAAGTGGGTTATTATGCCAGTAAACTGACGGAAGCTGCAGTCTATTGCGCTTTGAAATAAACTTGTTTTTTTATTCTATGGGTTTCCTTGTGCAATTAATGATTTGTTCTTAACCAATCAGGGCACTTGCAGTTTTTCAGTTATTTCATAAAAATGCAGAAAAACTATTTACATAGTTTCAAAATCTGAATGTCAATTTTATATACTAACAAGACCTACCTGTTTATGAGTGATAGACTTAATAATGCACATTTGCGTTTATCAATCTTCTGCTTCAAGCAAAGAAGTGTAACTAGCCATTTTTCAGAGATGCCAAGCTCTGGAGATCTCAGATCTGGAGATCTTTTTTTGGACCAGAACCCCTCCCCCCCCCTCAGCCAAATTTGCCTCCACCAAGCAATTTTGTGGGAAAAACATGGATCTATCTGTCAGGGACTTCAATTGGTTGAATACTCATCCAATCAGACTCTCCATTATATAGGAGTAAGAAAGAAGAAAGCATCTTCTTTTTGCTTACAATGAACAATGTGCATCACGCAAGAAAATGAAGCCAGAAACCATAATACAAGCATAAGAAGCCAAATGATTTTGGAATATATGTAGCCTGAATCTTCTCTGTGGGCAACTGATCCAAACTTCCTTTTTATCCAGGAGTTCTGGTCACCCGTACGGGAGAGTGGGAGATTGGCTGTGTATCTAGGAAAGTTGGCATATATGATTTTTGGTTTGTAATACCATTCTGCACGTTGCCAATATAGAGTGCAGGGGGAAGGGAGGAGTGAAGTAGGCCAATGATTTGATGAAATCGTGTTTTATTACTGCTAAGGGTTTCCTAGGTATGCAGTTGAGTCCTTTACCATAAAATGTGGTGAATGTATTCATGACATTATTCTAACATTTCATGAGAAATCTCACCACTTTGAGAATTTCACCGCCAAATGAAAAAACATATCCCGATGGTATGAAGTTCGTTAAGACATTGAGATGAGTCTTGCATACATACATACTTACATGCATACTGGTTTATTGCATCAATACCCTTAGTTATTAAGGAAAAAAGAATAAGCTACTCTTCAGGTATTGCCCAGACATAAACTGGAACAGAACGAATGTGCACGCATAAAACGGTACGACAACACAAACTTGAACACGCGTACTTGTAATTATGAAATGGACTTTACAATCTTGAACGAACGTTGTACGGTTTCGAAAACTAAAAGGAAACAAAGGAAATTTACAACTATAAATACGGAAAAAGGCTAGACAAACAAGAAACGAAACCAAAAAAAACTTACGTTTGTGTCCTTATAATATAAACGATGACGTTAAACGGGCGTTGAAACGATTCTCCACTTCGATCGAGCACATGTATTTTTTAACTCGCAGCGCCTCTCGGGATCTAGCTAATGAGTGCGTGACATCACGCATAACGGCAGTAACATTCCCGACCCCTTAAGCGATGCTTAACATGGAAAGTTCTTAGCTACAAAATAAAGTAGTAATTATGAAAAATAACTTGTCATGTCCTTTGCTAAAGCTAACGAGTCTAGTCCGTCACACAATCCGCTTAAAGAAATAGGGACTATGAATATTCCATGAAGGTTCAGCCCTTACGAGCTTCCTGTTTCATTGTTCATTATCGAGGCACGATTGTTCTTCCTTAGCTAGCAAGAGGACAACCTTGTCAACTGGTCTGCGTAGTTGGGAGGTTTGGGTCTTCAAATGAACCGTGCGTACCAACCCCTTCTTGTCTGATTCCGCGCTTATGACTCGTCCCATCGGCCAAACACTCCTCGGGCAGTTGTCGTCTTTCAACAGGACAACGTCTCCGACAGCTAGATTCCGTTTGGGACTGTTCCACTTCGAACGAGGTTGGAGAGTTGGGAGATATTCTCTCTTCCAACGCGTCCAAAATAAGTTTGCCAAGTACTGCACTCTCCGCCAGCGCCGCCTCATATAGACATCTGCGCGTTGAAAAACTCCTGCTGGGGGAAGTACAACGCTGGTTTTCATCGTCAGGAGATTGCTGGGACTTAGTGGGTTGAGGTCATCGGGATCACTCGAAGCGAATGTTAGCGGTCTCGAGTTAATGATAGCTTCAACTTCACATAGTAGAGTTCTAAAGGATTCGTCATCCAGACGGGAGCCATGCTCATGGAGTAGAACAGTGAGTACTTTGCGGGTAGTGCGAATCTGCCGCTCCCAAATGCCGCCCATGTGGCTGGCACTCGGTGGGTTGAAAATCCAATCTGTACCCTCTAGATGCAGCCTGCTTCTGATTTGCTCGTTGTTCATTTCGTAAACTGCTTGCTGTAACTCTGTCTTGGCGCCTACAAAATTTGTTCCGTTGTCGCTCCGGATCTCTCGGATAGGCCCACGACGAGCAATAAATCGCCTCAGAGCCTGGATAAATGAATCTGTTTCGAGAGAATTGGCGGTCTCAATATGCACTGCTCTACTTGCTAAACATGTGAAAA